CGTCGTTGTCGCCCTTCTTTTCAAATCAAAAAAAAAAAAAAAAAAACCGGTTTTGTCCCAGCTCGCTTAAACGCGTGGAGGGTACGAGTGATGGATGTGTGATATTAGGAAGGCATCGATTTCAAGTTGCGTGGTTGCGCTGAGAATTAAGAGAAAGGAGGGGGGGAGGAAGGTGCAATCAGCGTTAAGGGGTGCCACTCTTCAAATGTCATGCACATCGATCTATGTGCATGTGAGGTAAGGGATGTGCTATTCACGCGACGAGAAAATAAAAAGAAAATAACCAACTAAAAGCTGCTCCAACAAGCGACTATATTCCAACTGGTACTGCCCTCTATGCCACCACATTGTGGCCAGATGATATCCCTTTGCTCAGCCACCGGTTAAGCTTTGACGAGCTCCCGATCGCTCCCGAGTCCCGAACGCCCATGGCCATATTGCTCTATACATGGCACTCGGCAATTCGTAATCGTCGACTGTAACGTGGACTGGGGAAAATAGGGAGAAAGTAAACAAACCCACTCTCACTCCCAATCCTAACCCCATCTCCTTTGAACGCCACCTCCTGATAATTTTATCTTCGCGAGATTTCCCGAACCCAATGCAAAATACCGAATGCCATGTACACAATATGCAGTGCTCAAGGGGCAAAGAGGGAAACGAGGGCAATGGTATGCAAAAAGAAAAGAAAAGATCAACGTATTTGAAAAGGTACCCACCCAGCACCGCTCACTCCTTCACTCACTCACTCACCATCTCGCAAGGAGAAATCCCTCGGCTTCGTCGGCGCAGCGCCAAAATAGCTTGCTTGGTCATCCTCTACCGGTCGCTTCGACGAGCTGCCGCCGGGCCTAGGTGAGTAAAAGCCAGCATCATTGGTATAAACGCGATCGAGCCCCGCAGTACGATCCGTGTTGCTCGTACCATACGGATTCGTACCAAATCCATTGTGCATTTCCCAGCTTCCTACGCGCTCGTGTCGGATTCCGTTCCTGGCGTACGTCACGTCGGCATCAGGCGCCGCTGCCCGATTGTTGTCATTGTTATACGCGCTGCCTAGATTCAGCATGCGAATCATGCGCTCCTGCTCGCGCCTCTTCTCCGAGCCGGCTCGGTGGAAGCGGAGACCGGCACAGAGGGTGGCTGCGAGCAAGCCGAGTCCGATGACGGCAATTGCTGAGGCGGCCCCGATGGCGCCGGCTATGGTGGGGTCCATTTTGAGACCCTGACCATCGTGGGAGACGACGGATGAGCTAGAATCGGGGCTGCCGCCCTTGTTGCCGTCGCCTCCGGTGGTACCTTTGGCCACGAGACAGAAAGAGGCAGAACTGTCGCAGACGTCGCACCAGTGGGACGATGAATTGAGGGCAATCTCTCCCATGGAATGTCTGAATTCGGCGAGAGGCATGACTGATTGCGAGTTCCCGTTGCCAAAGAGGGCGTATTCTTGAGGAAGGGAGCCGGACTTGGCATCGTCGTAAAGGAACCGTACCCAGAGATCCTCGTCAGAAGGGTATACCGAGTCGCTGCCGCCTTTGGAGAAGAGCTCGAAAATCATCGCTGCACTAGGGTTGGGAACATGGCTTCGGAACTGGTTACCAGATGGACCATCTACCAATCCTGACAGGGAGAAAAACGCAAAGAAGGGCTCTATGGAGGTGAAGGCCATATTGAGCTTGTTGGTGCGTCCTTCTGTCTGAAAATTGCTGTCGAACCACTCCATAACTTTGCCAGCCATGGTGCGGCCTGCAATGGCGCGGATCTTGTCGCCTTCTTCCTTTCCAAATACCGTCAAGTTCCCATGCTTCTCACGCTGCTCGGTAGCTGCGAGATTGCCCATGTATTCGATAAAGGAGGAGTTCAGTTGATCTTTTGTGGCGTTGTCGTGCACGTAGAGGTACTGGACGGCGTCGTAGAATGCGTAAGCGTGATGGTAGTCTGCCAGATCCAAAGGGTACGCGATGTTGTCGCCGTGGAATATCCTTTTCCACTCCGCTTTGTAGAAGACCAGTGTTTCATTGTAGGTCTTCTCCACCTGAGTGTCGTTCTTAAAGCTGTCCAAAGAGCGCAGGTACTGGGGGCAGAGCTTATTTGCGTCCACGCTAAAAGTCATGGTTGTTAGCGATCTTTCTTTTTTAAAGTGGTGCTCATGGCGTTCTCATACTAAACAAATTCAGGGTCGTCGACTGACGGTGACCTGATGACCGGATATTGATATCCTTCCAGCGGATAATCCAATATCTCGGTATTGGCAAGAAGAGCAGCTGCTATACCATCCGTACCATTAAATACACGTGTTGATGGGGGGTAGAGGCCCTGCATGAGGGCCAGAGCACTGTGAAAGTTGTAACTATCTGCGCCCGTAAGGATATCAAGCTGGGTGTTGTCGATGGCGTTCGTGCTTAGGCCCACGAGCTTGGCTCCGATGAGCTTTGAAACATCAAAACTATCCGGTTCTTGAGCAGCCACTATGTAACGATTGCGAAGAACGCGGCCTCGATCAACGAGTTGTTGAGCACCTAGGGGAGTCAAATTAGGAGGAAAACCGGGAACATCGAGAGGACTCCGGTCACCATGCATAACCCATGCAATGGAGGACCATACACGCTCCGTAGCGGACTCGTCCCTGGTGTTTGGAGATGACTGAGACAGAGCGGTTCCGACCAGAACGGAGGCCAGAGTCGCGGAGATAATGCCCTTCATAGCTGCGGTTGAGGAACCTGCCTCGAGCACGCGTCTTCTCCAAGAGGGGGTAGAAGAAGTATTTTGAGATAGGGACAAGTGAAGAAGGCGAAAGGATAGGTCGTGAACATAGGAAAACTCAAGCGAGCACACTAAGCTTCGAGTCGTGGAGGACTAGATCGGAGACGAAGCTCCAGCGAGGGCACTACTATAGGTGATATAGAAGGAGTCGCAGCGAGAAAGGTGAAGCAACTTGTCCCTACATCGTCCCTCGGGATCATGGCGGCTTCCATCTTCACGCGGCGTTGCAAATAGAATAGTCGAAGCAGAGCAGGCACACTACGAAGTTGGTCAGTTAGGTGTGGATTAAGCGTCACTGCGTCCGGGGGAGTTTCCCGCTCTTGTCAACAATTACCAGGAAGGACCTGTGTGCAAGGCATACGAAGGTAAGTGAAGGGAAAGGGGTTGAAGGAGAACAGCAGCACGGTGTCATTATAGGTAAATCTTAGTCAAGTGAGTGACCGCCAACGACACAGCGTAGCCGATGATGAGTCGAGCATGCAAACAAATGCATTTTCCGCTCCAGAGCTCCCTTCTCCGGATGGAGGTGAAGATTGCTTGGTTGCTTCCATGAAACTATGCGACTGTAGGAGAACACTTCCGGGGAAATAAGGAAGACATGTGAAAAGAATGACAGAAATCCGACGTCGTCGCTGCAAAGAGGCCTGACTCGAGCGTTCATGCTGGGCGCTATCTTGATCAATTTGTGGTTGAGGGGAAGAAAGGAGGGGTTGTTGGAGTTGACTTCGGTTGTTGGAGTCTCGGAGAGGAGGGAAGTCCAGATGACGGGCAGTTAGTCAGTTGACACTTGACACTGCAGTGCAGCTGCTGACAGGTCAAGGAGCTGCTCGATTGCTTGGAAGGATTGGAGGTGACATCTGTCTTGGCATAACTTGACAGGTGGAGCCCGCTACAGTTACAGTTCCGTTCTCCGCTAAAACATCCTGCATTGGTGATCCCGCCCCGTTTTGATCAGCGATCTCAATCGGCCCGCGGGGACTTCAATCCGACCAAAGAACTGTTCCTCCGTTGTCGTACAACTGCTTGCGTAGATCAGGAGCAATGAATCAGCCCTAACGAACAACACCAACATCATTACACTGGGTTGATAATTCACTTCATGAACAGGTAACGCAGCACTTTTTACTCGCGGTACTCTCCAAATCACACACCGGCGATAATCGCCAAGTTTATCAACATGCTCCTTCTTTTGGTGTGGGCAGGAACTCTAGCTCAGGATAGCCTTACTCCTATCATCAGCCATTCATGTCAGCGCACATCTTACTACCTACAGATACATGGTGCTCGATGTGAACATCACTCAATGTCTCATCCCTTGATATCCGCCAGGCACCACCAAAACCCCGATCTCCGCCTGGTCAGTCAGCTCCGGGAGTGGGCTTTGCTGCAATGCAAGGGCATGATGGGCCATTGTTCCCGGTTGGGTTTACGCCCTTTCAGCTAAGACTTCTAGAAGCCGGTGACTCTCATCATCAAACACTATGGCTTGTAGGAGATTGTCGACGTGCTCACTGAGAGTTGATAAAAATAACCTACAAATCCGCCAATCTGTGTACCTCGAGTCCCATCATGAACTCAAGTTATCGCACTCACTCCGACTCCCCCAACCTCACCGCGACAACCGAGCATCCGGTTGATCTCGAATATTCCGCCTCGTACGCAGAAGCCTCAAGTTGACGGTGACCGACCGCTCTCAAGTGAACACTCTCTCCGGGGCTAAATTCCAGATTGGCTGGCATTCCCATTGGCCTGCTTGTCGCGTCTAAGCCCAAATGAGTGAGGTTCATCTCCCCGTTCATCGATCGGTTACATTTCCAGCAAGCGCCTGCTGCGTGGGTAGGTGGGGGACGGGTAACATATGGCCCCCTGACGGTGTGCCGATCCGCCAGCCCGTCCATATGCATCCTAGCTCGCATCTTTCACCAACAGTCCATCTTGTCCATGGGCGCCCACTAGTCTCAGGTTTTTGTTCTTCCGGCTGTGATCAAAGAAACAAGAGAACTTAGACAATGCACCTCTTTTGCTCCCGGCTTTGTTGTTGTTTTCCCACCAAAAGGCTTGAGTTGCAGCAAGTCTTGTCGACCGAGCAAGTGACGCGAAGGAAACATTGACATCTTTTTTCTCTACCTACGCGCCGACCCTCATACCCATACCTATAATGCTTATCTCGATCAGGCATTGGATCTGAGACGCATTAAGAGAGAGCTGCCCGCTTGAATGCGTAGTGCGGCGCCACCATGACGAATATCGGCCCTTTAACGACGACCTTCACACCACCAGCCAGTTGTACCACCAACACCCCCCAAATATATCAGGTCTGGAAGGGGACCGCATCCGAATACATCCACGGTCCTCTCTACACACCTGATTCGAATTGCTTTCCTGATGGTTACGTTGCGAACCCGTCCTACTACTACAACCCCGGCTCTTGTCCCAAGGGATACACGACAGCACCATGTTCGCGCTCTGGGCTTCCTGTGACAGACACAGAGGCAGCGGGTAAGACTCAAACGGCAGTTGTGTGCTGTCCGAGCGGAGCGTACGATAAACCTTCTTCTACATCAAGAACAGCTGTCAGGATACTAACACCAAAGACAGTGCCCTCACCTTTACCTGCGCCGACGACACCGCTCAGGCACTAGCATGTACCACATCCTTCCCCAAGGGAGCCGAGGTTCTGATGGGTGTGACTGTCGTATCCGATGGAACCATCGGACCTCACACCACCGTATCCGAGCGACGAGGCGGTATTGGCGCCTATGGCATCCAGGTCGTCCTTGGAGCAATGTCAGACGGGGGGCACATCCAACCCTCAGAGCAGGATAACTCCGGCATGATGGCAACCGCTACCTCCTTACCGACGACACCTCAACCAACAATCACCGACGACCCATTAGCAACGACGACGAGCAGTAGTAGCGGCGGCGGCGGCGGCGTAAGTACCGGCGCGGCCATTGGTATCGGCGTTGGATCCGCAGCCGTCGCCCTCCTCGCTGCCGGCTCCGTGGGCTTCCTCTTCTTTAAACGCTGGTGGCGGAAAAAGCGACTACTACGGCGTAGAAGAACCATTGAAAACATTGGAACCCTCAGCAACAGCAAAGGTGATGGTGATGGTGGTGGTGGTGATGGTGTCGCTGATCTCGTCAGCATCATCAGCAACCCCCCGCCCGTGCCGCCCAAGGACCTGCAACCGCACTACGAGCTGTCGGGAGAGGCCTCGTCCATCGTGGCGGCGTCGGAGTGTGGTCATCAGCCATCGAGACACATGAGCAGGTTCTCCATGTTCAAATGCGGTACGCCTACAACGCCGCCACCTGGACACCCTGCCGAGGCGGAACAAGCTCATTTGTCACCGGTCTGGCCGCCGAGTGCGAGTCACCAGAGTCGGAGTGGCAGTCCGAGTCATGCCTACAGCCGACCCGTCGAACACCCCGGGCACCAATTTGCCGAATTGGAAGCGGAGGTGCCAATTGAGGCGGCGAGTTCGGACATGCCGTCATCGGCGGAACCGTCGTTGACGACACCGAGTAAATGGTAGAGCTTGCAGACTTGAAGAAAGAGCCGGACCGGTACATAGTACTCAGCCGGCCGGCGAACCTTGAGGGCATTCCAGAAGGAGGTACGATTAGCAGCATTACGACAGAGACGGGGAGAGGGGGAGCGAGAAATGTCACCAGCGCCGTGGATCTAATGCAGTCGAATCAGTTGTTGGCCGGATTGTGAGGCCCTGGACCATCTCGACAGAGGGGGTTCAAAGTGCATAACAGGGAGGATAAGATAAGATGCAAGACAAAAGCATTGGGATCGGCAGAGACGCATACATTATAGCCAGGCCAAGGCAAGGCTGTGCTAGTCCCAACCAACGTCGTTGAGACACATCCTCGAAGAGTTCCGACACGATATCCCGAAATACGCGGGCGCAACATGGCTGAGAAGCGGCCGATGAAGTTTAATGGAAGAAGTAAGCTTGGACATACGACGATGATGCGTAATGAGTTGGACTTTGGACGGATGATGTCGAGCCCGTATCTCAATCAGGACAGAGAAAGCGATATAGTAGCACAAAGGTGAACAAGGCTACCTCTCGATCCGCTCGATCAACTAGCTATTTCTGTTCGGTGTTTCATTACTAGATGTGGATTATACGGAGTTTAGGTGCCTCTATGGTTTTATCATTAGCATGTATATACCATAGTGTTTATTATTAGTGTCCAAAGACACCCCTGAATTAGCATTGGATACGTTTCTTTTCGCTGTTTAAACGCCTCGAACCACGCAGCGAATGTGCAGGCTCTTGACAGCGACGGCATGTCGTATACAGAGTAGGTAAGATAAGGTAGATAAGTAGGTAGGTTGCTGTCCGGTAGGCGGAAGTGGTACTTATTGATCGGGCCCGATTATCTCAGCCGAAGCAAGTATCATGCGTCAAACAGGTCTATGCCTTTGGGAACACAACCACGGCCATGCATGGCTGCTGAACTTGAATATGGGCCTGAATATTTTGGAAACACTCACCTCCCATAAACCAAGTGCAACATGTCAGGAAACCTTTGCACTGTTTTGCCCGTTTGTGGCAACAACAAGAGTCCAAAACACGAAACAACGAGGGACACTCTCGAGAAAGAATTGACTGGCTGTAGAATCTTTTAAAATTCCAAGCTCATCCTACACACAAAAGGGGGTTCGTTCCCTTTTTCTTCCCCCTTCCTCCCGTCTTTCCTGCTGCTGCTGATGCCTCATAGACCATGTCTGTAACACAGGAGTTTCGATCCTTTTTGTAGCAGATGACGTAACGTATCCGCTGCTTCACTTTCGCCCAGTCCAGTAGAGACGCGCAATCAGGAGAGCCGTAATAGTCGGTCGGTTTGGAGGTTGTTCATGCTATAAGATTTGCTCTGCTCTTCTTAGGAAACTCGGATAATTGTAGAATTTACAGGGCCTCGCTAAGGAGCTTGTTCATCTTGGCGATCTTGGAGGAGACGGAAAGGTCGATGGTGCGCTCACCGATCTCAACAACGAGACCACCGATGATGTCGGCGTTGACCTGTTCAGATTTGAAAAGAGAAGGTAAGTAGTTGTTTTGCCTAATTTCACCAAGCAGCCGGGTCGGGTATAGCTCCAGTTTTGCCGGGTTGGGATGGTGTGAGATAAACGCACCTTGTTGGTGACCTTGAGCTTCTTGCCAGAGCCGACGTAGGGGGACTTGGCAACAGCGGACTCGAGGCGGTTGAGGGTCTTGTTGTCGAGGGGCTATATGGTGGTGGTTCAGCATTTCGTTAGCGCTTCTGTTTCCCATCTCCTTGTGTTTCGGTTCACCCAGGATCCCAATTCCAGCCAGAGCTTCCGCCAATGTCCAAGCCCATTTTCATTGTCGTCCTCCTCTTCCTGGCCGTGATTCCTCCCATAAGCTCGGCTTTCCTTCCGCCATCGCCCTCGTAGTTTCCCTCCTCATTCTGATTCTTCTTTTGCCCACCATCAAACAACGTAACGGAACAAAGCGAGCGTACCTGAGCGCTGGTAACGACCATCTCAACCTCACCGCGGGCGGCGCTCATGAGCTCGCTGAACTTGGCGACGACACTGGGGAGGAGACCGAGGCGGTTGTTCTCGGCGAGGGTGGCAAGGAAGTTCTTGACGGTCTCGTTGGAAACACCGACGCTCTTCTGGAGCTCGGCAACGATGGCGCTCTTGTCGGCGGGGGAGAGGGTGGGGGTCTCGAGGATGCTGGCGAGCTTAGGGTCCTTAGCAAGGAGGTTGCCGAGGCTGCTGATGGACTTGGCGGTAGGCTCGAGGGCGTTGGTCTTGACGGCGGCCGTGTACTATATCATGTGTAAATGACGCAAGGAACTATGTTAGCTCTCTGATATTCTGTCTATCGGTCCATTGCGTTCGGTCGTCGGTTCGGTTGATGTGGGAGAGCTCCAACCGACATAACCCTACGAACACGGGAGCTCGAGGGTGCTTCAATTGCTTGTGGCGTCGGGGTCCGGGGCGCGAGGGCGTACCAGAGCAGTGGCATAGGTGCCGTCGAGACCGAAGAGAGTCACGGGAGGCTTGACCTTGCTGGAGGCGGCGGCGGCAGCAGCATAGGTGCGGACCTGGGTGTTGAGGACCCGCGCGGGGCGGAGCAGGGCCTGTCGCGACAACATGATGGGCGTGTGGGATATGCTACGGGTGGACGGGGGACCGCGATGTCGTGAATTCAAGCTCCGGTTCAGTTTTGTCAAGGTAACGGGTGGGTTTGGAGCCGCTCGGCAAAACCGTGTCTGCCTCAGGCTGCAAATCCTGGAGCTGCGCCGTAATGGTACCTCTGCCAAGACTTTTCAGCCTGCCAACTGCCCAGAGCTTCTTCTCCGGAACTGCCCGTGCCAAGTGCAGTGGGGCAGGCAAGCAACATCCCGATAACGTTATCGGTGCCATCCCGTCCGAGCATCGGCACGGCATGCATCCTTGCCATTGACATGAAGTTCCATGTGAAGTGGAAGCTGCAGCATTTCGTTGTGGTGTCAAAAAGCGTCTATTTCCACGAGAAGCTCCAGGCCTCTCTGTCCCTCTCTACACCGGAAAAAAAAAAAAAAAAAAAAAAAAACCAAAGAGATCCCGGTGCCCTTTACGCGCCATCAAAAGCATGCGCGTCCCTCCCTGAATTCCGTGGTCCCTTAATCCCTTCTATCAGCGCCCGTTGCCAGCCCACCATACCAAACGAAAACGAATGCCTGTAATGGAACCAACCCGCACCCAACCTAACGCCTACGTGCTTAGCCCTGTCAAATAACCATGCGCCAATGCCAAAGCCATACAAGATGCTGTCGTCTAGTCGCTGCGTAACATGCTGTCGACCAAGTCGCCTAGCGGTCCCCAGAAATCCTTGCCGGTTGCCAGGTTGTGCTCATCGATAAATAGCACATATTGCTTGAAGCTGGTGTTGAGATGCGGCTCCAGGCCCAGTTCGCGAATAACGGGGTAGTGGTGGCAGTAAATATGAGCGTAAACGCGGTACATGCGCTTGAAGATCTGACGGACCAGCGCCGGGAAGGACTTGGGGAACGGAACTCCAATCCTACTTGGTAGGACGGCCTCGTTGTCGATGTTGCCCTGGACCCAGCTCATGAGCTGTTCAATGTAAGCGGGCGCAGGCATCTTGGTCGGTCGCTTGTAGTTCTCCGTGTCCTGCCACAAGTACTCGAACCTAGACTCTGTCAGCGTGTTGGTCTTGGTGTATGATTTTGTGATGGAAACGTACTCGTCGGTCGCCTTCATCTCGGGGCAAGTCTGGGGAGAGCAGAACTCGGTAATGGCGCCATAAAGAAGGTTGATTTGGTTGTAGAAGTCCACCACTAGCATAGCGGGTCAGCGAATGCCCCTGGAGTGAAACAAGCTGGGTCGGCGGGGTTGATGCTCACTGTTCACAGCCAACCATTCGTTCTCGTCTTCACCCTCAGGCAGCTTCACCACCTTGCGCAAACTTCCTCCGCCAAGTGTTGCTTCGGCATATTGTCGCAGCTGGTAGCTGGTCGCACCGCCCTTGCCGCTCGCCCGAGGTCGGAACTGGTTGCGCGTCCGCTGATTTCTAGCGGCAAATCATGTTAACAGCTATCCCACACAAGATAAATTCATGGCTTTACTGAGGAGGTCGAAAGACCTTCCAGTTATGCGGTGTGTTGCACCTCCTGGAAAGGAGATGGATGCGACGGCGAGCGAGCTTGTCCTCGCTTCGTTGCCAATTACGTCATCGCATCGCCAACTATTCGCGATGGGCCCGTCAAGGGCGGAAAAAGGGGGAGGGTTCAACGTACACGGTCGTAAGAAAGGAGCTCATGGCGACAACCAAGAAATGTTGGATATGTTCGGAAGGATGTTTGGTGAGCTGCGACAAGTGGTTGCACAAGTTAGCGGCGGGCGCAGCTGGTATGTCATTTGTTGGCGGGTGACATTGGGCTGGGCAACAGGAATGGTCCTTGTCGCATGACCGTGGGAGGGCGAACACGTACCGATACAAGCAAATGCGCCAGATACCGGATGCTGGAAGATCAAGACCAGATGTCGCTAACTTGAAATTTTAACCAGCCGAGTGTTGGTATAAGGGTAGAAGCAGAGGTAGTGTGTTTGTTGAGGACATTTAAAGGGAGAGGAAGAAACGGGGCATGTTTTAATTGTTTACCTTGACGGATGGATGCGCCAAACAGACCTGACAACGACAGCCAGGTTCGCGCTGGCCGCAGCGAATCATGAGTGGGCTCTTTGATGGCACAGCGGCTGGGCAGGGGCAGCCGGGAAGCTCTTAGCGCCTGCCATGTCCCCGCATAAGGTTCGTCGGTAGTGGGGTCATTCCAATGCGCAACTCCATTCACTGGTCTCGACCGCCTATTCCAACCTCGAGAGCAGCCGCTTCGATATAAGGTCACTTTTATTGACAAAAAGCGAGGTATCAAAGCTTCTTTCCAGAGCAACATCCTTACATGTGCCCAAGACATACACCAAGAAAAAAAATAGGCAGATACTGACTCTTACTACAGTCGCGGCGAATTGTTACCTTTGATCATCGCAAGGATCGTTGCATGCCTTGAGCTTCGGAAAACTGCCATACCTGTTTTAGTTCAGTTGCCGGTTTTTGACGATGAGACCGGCTGAAAGGATCCGTCTGGATATGGATTCTCTCCATAAACACATCTCCACACAGCCTCCATCCGGTGGAGCATGGGATGTTTCGAATCGCGGGTGGACGGCACTCCCGATCTCGCTAGAGCAGCCACGCACATGGCAAACAACTCCTCTTACCCATGGGGCTGTTCATCTCCGAGGCTTCCTTTGTGCGGGACTATCCGTACAGTTGTCGTTGGGTGGTCCATCGTTCAGGATCGAAACCAGACGTTGCACCGGATGGATGGTGGAAGATCACCCCTCTCGAGAGACATCTTTCACCGAGCTTCTTCGTCCACAACGACGTCAATGCACCCCGCAATCAACGACTTTGGTGATAACAGGGGCCGGAGACGATGGATAATGGCTAAATGACTTCTAAGTGTCCCTTTTTACCTTTTTTTGGGACAGTGACCCCCTCACTTTTCCCAAACTACCAGGTGGACAAGCCAATAATGGCTTCACTATGTCGACGATCCATGAGTTGCCCTAAGGTTAGTGCCCGGATGGATGAGGAGAAGTGATTGCCAAAACGAAAGTAGACCATGAATGTTTGCCTAGGACTAGGACCATGAGATAGCCCAAGTGAACTGCACCCAACAATGTGGCATCTTACCCTCATTGTCCTCTCCTGCTCAGTTGAGGGCAAAATACCCGCCCACGAAAGACAAACAGTAGACCAAGCCTACAACCCTCAACAGACCTCCAGCTCAGAATCCACACCAATACGTACAAGTACACTAGGAAACGGTAACTTTGCCTTCGGCGCCGACATCACCGGCCTGTAGATCCTCGAGCCTTACGTGCCTCTCTCGACATGGGGCTGGCACAACTTCAGCCTACCCAGTACGCCCGACCAGACATCCATTGACGACTTCACAAATTTACAGTGGTGGCCTACAACCAGCTCAACGCAGCCCAGAACGACATCTTCCAGCGGCCTGTACCGAACCCTCAGCGGATCAACCCAAGGTATATCGGATTCCCCTTTCCCGACGAGAAGAATGAGAACGTCATAGATGCAGACCTGGAGAAGAAGACGCAGATACTCGATATCAGGTCAGGAAATGCTAAGCTCGCTCTTTGTCCACAAGGAGTTTCCCGTTTATGTAAGTATAGCAGCCGATCCAGACTCGTGACACCGTCTCGATAGAGGTCGATTATAAGCTGCTAGTTTGTTCCGACGGCGACGACGACGGCGGGGGGCTGGTCTCTTCTCCAAGTTTTCCTATTCCGACCGAAACGAGCTCGACGCTCCCTTTGTGGGCATGTGGAGCGCAACACCCGTAGTAGGCGGTTGAGTATTTGCTGCATATCATCTTTCGGTTTGATGTTACTAGGTATTCGGTAGGCTGGTCACGAGTGCCGACGCCTTATTTCCCCAAACTCTGCGTGGTCGCCAATGACGGCGGGTGAATGGGAGAGTGTTGAAGTAGGTGGCTTTGTGCCGGCCATGTGAGTAGTCCTGGGAAAAAAAAATGTTAGTCGTAGATATCTCTCGTGGGCTATCCTACCCCAAATATGATCATAGTCAGTAGTGGCCAGGTCCAATTCGAGGCAACCCATTCAATTGCTACTGTGATAACGGTAAAATACACTTGGTGTCTTCTTGGGCCGACCTTGGTGTAAGGCTTTATGCTGTCTTCCATTCGTATGAAGTCGCAGCTGAGCGGATAGCATTTCACAATATTCTGCTTCCAATCGCTCATGCCATTCCCTCCTTCGACACTCCCTTTCCACTTCAGGGGTATGTAGGTATGAATCATAACAAGTTAAAGTTTTGGTCGTCTCTCCTCCCGTCTCTTTCTTTCCGTCCCATTTGTAAAACTTGAGGGTATCGTGATTCATATATCGTTCACAGAAGCGCCTCGCCTACGTTCTCCCCTTCGAAGCCAATGGTGGAAAGCTTCTTGACCTTGCGCTTCTCCTTGGCCTTCTCCTCGGCCTTTTTCTGCTTGGCTAGTGTCTGCACCAGTTCGAGGTCGGCAGGGTCGTAGCCCGGGGGCGGGTCGTCGTCGCGGTCAAGGTCGATCTCGCCCATAAGGAGAACGTTCTCGCCGCGAACAACGAAGAGGCCCCGGTCCACGTCGGCGTAGAGCCCCCTGGTCTGGGCGGGTGACTGCGTGCCTGGAGGCACGAATATCCTCTCCTTTGTTTGTTGTAGTACTAGGTTGGCTAGTAATGGTGGGGAAAAAGTGGATTCGCGTTAACACAGTAACCTCTTCATGCTCGTGCTCGTTCGTGCGTGCGTGTGTAGGTGGTCATGTGTTGTGAGAGAGAGGTAGGTTCATGGAGGCATACCAAACTGATCCCAACTGCGGAGGATGCCCGTGAGCTTTCGTCCGTCGCGCAATGCTACCATTAGCTTCTCTGTTGATACCGCGCCGCGCTTGTGTCAGCCTAGTTCCTCCCGTCCAAAGATATGTCCACACTGTTGCTTCTTACTATCGGTGAGGTCGAGGAGTTGGGCAGCTGTGGTGAACATTTGCGCGGGCAACTGCTGGGGCTGGGGAGGACGGCCGCCTCCTAGGAGTCCCGGCGGAGGCATGCCAGGTCCTGGCTGGCCGGGACCCTGAGGGAAGGGCGGCGGTGGGGGTTGATCGTTTATCGAGAGGTGTTCCATGGTTGTGTACTGATGATAGTGGTCTATGTCTTCCAGTCCATCTGTAAACTAGTTTCGGAGGGTATCTTCAAGGTTGTTGAATGGGAAGCGGGATGCAATGATGCGATGGGACAACTGCCCGCCCTGACGTTGCCTGCCCGCACCACATACTAGGTACATAGCTGCCGCCCTCGGCTGCCCTGGGCTTGCTCCGCTGTTTGTGCAGTTCACCCCACTTTCCACGGTGAGAGGCACCGACGACTACGAGAAATGTTCCTTGAGGGACAGCGCGAGTCGCACAGATCTTTTTACCTCTCTACAGTACTCACCAACTTATACGACTCCTGCCATAAGCCTTTAGTGGATTATTTCAACTTCCCGCCGGCAGGCAGTTTGCGTGTATGTACCTACAAGTTCAGCCACATCGCAGGTTGAGCCACAAGATGGAGCGAACTTCAGCTTCAGCATCAGCTCGGCTCATACAAACCTAGGGTACCTATCGCTGCTTCCTGCGGCAGATTGCTCTTACAGCGCCTGTGCGGTGGAGCTTGATCACCGGGCTGTAGTGTAAACACTGCCAGGGCAAGGTGAAACCAAGCGCTGTGCAGCGACCTAACCTACATTATTCAACCCTTGCAGTGTGCACTGAGAAGCCGGTGGCCGGACAATGAGCCGACGGGACCTGCACTGAGGTGACCTGTGCTGGTTTGCCTGTAGTGCCGCACTGCATTCTCCCGGCCTTCTACTTCGGCTCAACCTGCTGTCAACCCCAATCCATCCTGCCTCTCCATATTTCTTCACCTGCACCATACGTACCCTCGCTGTCGACAGTTATACACACAAAGATCCCACGAGGACTATGTCCAAATCCGGTTCGACCACCAGAAGCCGTTCCTTTTCTCTCGTCCTTGCGCTGTAACCATTCTGCGCGCCCGTCCATCGGCGGACGAGGGCAGCTCTCTTCCCGTCGTCCAGTCGACTTTGACTTACTCCAGTCGTCTTCTAGCCTCAAATCTCTGCACTGGGGCACTCTTTCTTCCGCCCACCAGCCTCGCCTTGAGGTTTGCCTCGCCTGGTCTTACTTGGTCCGGATACAATAAAAAACAGGCAACCAAGAAACATATTTACGAGGACCCCCTTCGCCATGGCTTCTACCGACGTTACCATGGCCGACGCGCCTTCCGGGCGGCCTGATCGCCGCTCCAACGCTTCCCCTCCTCCCGGGCAGTCACAGTCACAGTCCAAGAGAGACAAGCGTCGCCAAATGCTTGCCGAACGCATTGCAACCCTTTCCGACAAATGGAGCAAGGACAGAGACCAGGCCTTTCGCGAACAACTACAGAAGATTCAGATTGACACCAGTCTGGTCATGCGAGTCGACCCCTATGTCGACCGACCTTTGGACAGCTTCGAAGAGGATCAGAGACGACTCAACCAGCTCAATGGCGCCGACTCCGACGGTGGTCCACGATCCCTCCTTGACATGGCTGGCCCCAAGTTTGCCAAGTGGATGGAGAACGTACAGGATCTTGCAGAGCAACGCGATTATGCTCTCACCAAATTCAAAGTACGTCTCCCAATCATAACCGTTCAACTCTCCGTCAGTCCAAGTGCCAATGCTGACTCTTGGTTTCGCAGTTTGACTACGAGAAGAAGATCGCCGAATACCTCAACACGCATGCCTATAAGACGGAGCTTGCGAACAGAGAACACAAGGCGCTTGCCTCGACCCTCCGCGACCGATTGATCAACATTATCACTTCGAAAAAATACCGGCTCAACAAGGAGAAGGAGGCCCTCGAGATTGCCGATGCGTCCGCACTCCTCTTACACCCCAACCAATTCAGCATCACAAACCCAGCCAGCCCCGGAGGCACACACGGCAAGCGGGCCACCCGTCTGCGGAGAGAAATGGAGGAGATGAACGGCATGGACAGCAAGAAAAGAAAGCGCAACATGAATGATGACGACGGTTCTCCAGCGCCACAGCGCCGCGCACTCGATCCCAACAGCACTACACCCCTATGGCAGACAGACCGTCTGGTCCAACGCAAGACCACCGGCCCCATCTACAGCATTGACAAGCTGTTCACGGATAAGGAATTGTCAATGACCTACAACCAGTCGGCTTTGGCGGCGCACAAATACATTCTCACCCATAAGCCACGGTTTGACGACTATGGGCGCCCAATCTCGTCCCCCGAGGGTAGTGTTTCCGGTAGCGGCGACCCTGATGACCTCGACTCGGAGTCGGCTCCGTCGGCGCCGATGATGGAGAGGAACGTTTCGCACGCTACTCGCAGCAACAAAAGTGGGGCTAACAATCCCAACTTTGACGACAAACTCATGGGCTTGGAGATGCTCGCTAACTTCGACTTCCCCGGTAACCTTGAGCGTTTGACTAGTAGTCAGGACCCTAAGCAGCCTCCTGCCTTCCCGTCACAATACGTCAAGGGCCATGCAAAGCAGTCTGAGTTTAACACACCGGCAGCACTGGCTAATGACGACGTGACCGGGGACTTGATGGTTATGCATGCCCTAAAGCAGTACGACCAGCTTAACGGCATGGGCGCCAATCTACAGACTGAGCATGGAAGCATGAAGCTTCTTCAGTCGGTGTCGCTCCCGGTCAAAGACCGCAGATTTGTGTCCTTTGTCCAGGGCGAGCGGCCGTCGGAGAACGAACTCAGGCAGCGCCTTGGTCTTCCCCCGATCAAGGAGCCTGTCGAGCCCGAAAGATCTGAGCCAACCAATGGTCTCGGTATCGGCACCCCGTCAAAGGGCGGCCGCTCGGGTACTCCGTCTCATCACCAGTCTCCGGCTAAGGCGCTTGGGGGTGTTTCTATGAGCAGACAGTCTAGCGCCAACGGCGGCGTGGCGATGAGCCGGACCAGCAGCAGAAAGGGACGCGGCGGCCGCGGTGGCTGAAGAGGACGGCGGCCTAGACATGATTAAGAAACGGATTTTGACGACGAGAGCTAAGAGCATTGGTCGGTGATAAGCGGTTCGCAACGACGAAAGAGAGTGTCCAGCGCCGTCTGGCACAAGGTGCTTCACATATTACATTGAATGTTTGCTCCTCTACGATGGTGCCTGTTTTGCCTCCATCGCGCACAGGAAGGGAAAGAGGGACGGAGAGGCGTTTGTTGAGATCTGGATCGAGGGTTGCGCATACATTGAAGGGGTTACGGAGTTTAAGGAAACATGGCTGGACTTTATTATAGTGCTACTTGAGCATTGAACGCTTTCATGCCTGCAGTTGTAGCATTACCATAGGTATTACGTATAGATCCTATTCGGTTCGTTGATTACCGTGGCTCTACCGCATACTGTTTGACATCTCGCTCGTCTTTTCGGAGTCTACTAGGCTTCCCTTTGCTTTGCGCTTATATTATCCCTTCGAATCAATCAATATCGGTAACCACATAAGGCGTTGCTGGAATTTCATTAGCTGATTCAACCAGAGCAAGACTCACAGTCATTCGACTAACTTTTGGTGAAAATTACTGGCTCTATGGAGGAGCAAACACGAAATAGAAAAATTGTTCGCGGACACCGTAATTCAGACATTTGCCAGCAAACGATCCCTCAAAACGCCATTAAACTCTATCAAATTATTGCCTATTCACATTCACTCAGAAGATACTCCAACCCGCCTCCTGTATCCATCATAAAAGAACATGCATCAAGTCAAGGTCCAAAAACCAGGGCCCTCACCTCAATGCTTTCCCGTCCCTCGGCATCCGCTCTCTGTCTCGGATCCTCAAAAGCCGTATGCGGCACCCTTCCCCCCTTCACCTTGCTCCCCTCCTCCAGGTCCTCTTTGCCTGCCCAACTATCAAAGCACTCCAACAGAATCCTTTCGTCGCCCGTCATGCCACTCAAAAAGTACCACTTTTGCCCTTCATCATGCAGCACCCCGGCCGTCTGACCGGTATATCCATTCTTATACCGATGCTCGACGGGCACTATATCTTTGTCGTTTACCGTCTGCGAACTGGCAAACGCCAGCGGGTAGCTTTCCACGGGCCCTTTGTTCAGCGGCCGCCACACGTTGACGATGCGGTACCGGCCCTGCAGCAACTGCTCGGCTTCCTCCGGAGAGGAAGCGTGTCGGCGCACACGTTGCGCGACGGAATAGGCGGTTTGGTCAATGTGTACGCGCTGTACGGGGCCGCGGGGCGCAGAAGGGGAGGTGCGGCGGATGGTGTGGTCGAAGAGGATGACTTTGTTGGAACCGGGGATGGTGTCCAGAAGGAGGCGGGTGACTTCGGGGTAGTAGAGTTGGGAGATGGAGGCGTCGGATGTGAAGTTGGAGCCGTTCTTTGCAAGGTCTTCTTCTGCGGAGGGGGGGAGGCCTTGGACGATCTGGAAGGCGTCGTTGTCGAGTGAAAAGGAAGACTCGAGGCCGCGGATGTCGTGGATGGTGACGGGGAGGGTTTGGTAAGAGTAGTTACGCTCGGGAACGCCAGGGGCCGGGTCGATGTTGTTGAAGGGGCTTGAGCCGTCCGAAGGGGGCTCGTAGAAGTTCAGGGGGGCGACGACGTCACCGCGGGGGACGCGGTCTTCTGAGGTGGTGATGGTCATTGTGTGATGGTATAGGATGAGGAGGTGGAACTTTGGTTGTGGATAGGGTAGTGGGAGGTGTCTTGAGTAAGTATAATACGGCTGCTTTGGTGTTGATAGTGCTGTTGTTGAATGTCTTTCAAACAACGATGATGGGGGTGGTGGATGTGAACGGATTTATATCTTCCTTCACATAAACATTTTCTTCCATTCACATCACACCGGTGATAAAAACCAGAAAACCTCACTGACATTAGTAACATTAATTATAATTTCAAAGCACTAAGTGGATTATAGTTATTCAACAAGATGCTGTACACCAGCGCATCCCAGTGTCGAGATGTTTTTCCGTCACGAGGTTGGACTTACACGTGCGCTTGCTTCAACGCTGGGAACGGTGAAATTGAAGCCATTCGTTAGCACGATCACGCCATGCGAAGGGCGCGCCCATGTTCGGCATTGGAATTAACAAGTTGACAGGTCATCCCCTGCAGTGCCACTGCGGATATAGTCGTGTCGGTCGTTCAGATCTCGGATGGGATAGGTTCGGAATTAGTAATCCGGGTTGGGACGGTGTAAAGGATGGAGTTGTTTTTGTTCCAGTTGCCCTCTAGTGTAATATGGGGTTGTTCTCCTCGGGATTTGTTCCCGTTGTGAATGTCAGCAATGTTATGAGACATGGTGACATGATGCTATCAGTCGAGTTTTTGCAGAACCCCATTGTTCAAGGCCTATTCGATCCAGTGTTGTTGATGATGGTTGAAGAATTGTACGTGTAAAAGATTCCGAAATGTTATGCCGAGGCAATGACGTCGGCGTAAGAGGGGTCCGTGCTCGGCTAAGCATTCCCCAGCCCTGAAAATGTGGACTCTCTCAGCCTGCCTTGCCTGCCAGCTGAAGACCGTTAACGGGGGTCTGTCGAACTGCGGGGACAGTTTTGCGGTCGCGTTCTCATTCGTCCACAATTACAGCTGCTGCTTGGCGACGGATCCAAACCTGTCAATCAATCATGGGGTCGGGTTCGGTCGCCGCAACAACGACGGGAAATTCCAAAGTAAACAATTGCCAGCATTTCGAATTCGCACCTTTTGGATACTGTAGACCGGAGGCTTCATGCGCATGCGCCCTCTGCTGCATCCTTTGCTAACATCTTCATATCGCTTAAACATTCACTCGCTCCATTAACCACACTGTATCCACCACCACCACCACCACACCGGGCCTCATGCGCCCACAACCAGGGCTGCCATGGACGAAGACGAAGACGCGTCCATGATGTCGGTCGACGACATTTCGTCGTCCACGGATCCACTCCTCGAGACGGCCGCCACCCCAGCGTCTCGCTCCGTGACACCGGCGATTCCAGCTCGCCAACCCGCATCGGCGCGTCGCGGTTCCCGTAGAAACCAGCAGCCCACTCCGCGAACCCAGCGAGTCCAAGCCCTTCGAGAAAGCACGCCGAGAAAGCGCATGTTCGAGTTGGACGTTGGAGACGCGCGATCGCCCCAGCGCCTGCTGGTCACTGTCGAAGCCGAAAGCTCGAGAGTCACTTCAAGAAGCAGTGTTAGTCGCCGTCTGTTTCAACACTCGACGCCGACCGCTCGCAGCATCCGCGAAAGAGAAAGAACAACTTCGGTCACGGTTCCCTTGCGCGGCGTGGAGGGTGATGACGACGATGAGATTACTCGACTTGGCGAGTTTGTTACACCGAGGCCGCGCGGAAGGCCACCACGAACAGCTACTCCAGGCACGGCCTTGCGCTCCGAGACACCAAAGACGACAACTCGCCCGATGCGACCAGCGACCCCCGGATTTCAACTGCGCGAAGCACGCTCCTCGTCAAAGGATGTCTTGGATTCAGATGTCACAATCGATTTTAGCAAGCTCGGGTTTACACCAGGGACAAAGCGGCGGATCAGCTTGACACCAGGGCCCAGCAGTCGTGCGCCAAAGCGGAGAAAGGGTGTTTCGTCGCCAGTAAGACAGCCTAGTCTGCTGGGTCCAGGCTCTGCGCGAAGGAAACGAGGCCGGCCGAGGAAAGATTCAATTGCGCACGACCAGTTTTCCGCCCTCATAGACCGAGATCTTACGGCGCTCAAAGAAGACGACTCCGATCATGAGCCTGGGCCCGAAGCGGAATCCAGTCGCGACCAACAAGACCGAAACCGAGGTCGAGACCAGAATCAAGAACATACCCGTCGCGAGCACATTTTTCAACGAGTACCGTCAAACGTCATCTTGGGCAATACGGGTGTTGGTGCTCCCTCAAGTGATGCCCCTGGGCCTGATGAGTCGGAAGGCGACCTGTGGCTGGACAACTCGTTCAATCCACCTCAGGATACACCGGCCGCTCGACGGTGGAACGGGGCACCAAGAGCGCAATCCTCTAGGGTGGAACAGCTGCGACCGGAACCCGCGCGTCAACAAACGCCCCAGCTGGAATCAGAGCTTTCGCACGGGGATGAGTATGTCGAGTTCGCAGACTTTGGTGGCGGCGAATCGCATAGCGACATCGAATCGGGACTCGAGGATGACAATGCGACCCCGAGGGATACACCGGTTCAGCCAACAGAGACTAGGTTGCCAGGCGAAGAATTCACCATGATAGACCCGTATTCGCTACTATCTATGCAGCAGAATTCGAGCTATGTCGAGGAACAAGGGCACGGAGGAGCGCAAAACAAGGATACCCGCGACGGAGATACGACAAGTTTCTACATCAGTAAGACGATCGGGTCGTTGCGGATAAGTCAGCAGGAATCGGACGAGCGATCAAGTCACATCAGGACAATCGATTATTCTGTCAATCCCAATTGGACGACTACACCCAGGGCACCCGTTCCCAGTTACGATCCGCTATATCGATACTCGACAGGCGATAATAGGGGAGAGGCCGAGGTGGTAGAGGAAGAAGAGGAAGAGGGGGATGCGCATGAGCGCAGCGAGTCTCTGGAAAGGCACCAGAATCGACCATATCCAGGAGCGGAACAAGATTCAGAACGGGAAGAGCAAGACCGGGACTCGCGTCGGGATTCGCAACGGGATCGCGAACTAGAGTCGGAACTTGCGCTCGAGCCTGGGTCCGATGCTGGGTCAGAACCAAAAGTAGACTCGAGATCTGAACGTGGAAAGGAGGCGGAATCACAACATGAGCCTGCACTTGAGCCCGAAGAATCCGACATATGGTTTCAAAAAGAACCACGAAGGCGGCAACAACGAGAGCTGCGAAAGGGGAAAACACATGAACCAGAACCCGAACCTGAGCCAGAACCCGCGTCAGAATTCAATACTTGGGTTCGGGCAGAACAAAGACAAGAACATCAATATCGAACACAGTTGGAATCTAGCCTTTTGCATCAGCGGCAAGCAAATCGAACAAGTCGACTGGAACGCGAACGGGAACTAGAACTCGAGCAAATAGCTGGGAATACGCCGGACTTCGAGCCCTTGCCTGAGCAGCGGTCCGAATCACTGCAAGAACCTGAACGTGAGCCGGTTTCTGAACCTCACCTTGAGGAAGAACAGGAGCAGGAGCAGGAGCTTGAGGATAATCTGGAGTATGAGCGACAACAGGAAAGTGAAGCAGAAGCACGGCAGGAACAAGCACAACAGCCCCAGTCAAGGCGGGTAAAGTCACCACACCAACAGAAAGCCCGGTCGCTTGAAAGACAACTGGATGTAGATGTCCGTGGTGATGTTGGGGTGGATTCGTCAAACCGCTCTGTGGACTATGACCAATGTGAAATACAGGAATCAAGTGTCCTATATCACGGCCATCTTCGACGAGAATCGCGAGGCGCTCTGCCACCTGAACCATCAAGTCCGTTATTTAGAAAATCTCAGACAGATGTTCAGCATCAGACAACAAAGACAAGTATTCAGCCCTCTGTCGAGCGGCCTTCATCTGTGAATAACACCCTCCCCTTACATGCATCGAACAGTATTCTGACACCTGATAAGACACCATCTCCTGTCCCTCCAGAACCTCGCGACTACGACTTCCAGGACGACTTCGGTACTCATGCCAACGTAGAGGCAGACATCGACGACGCTGAGCTTAACGATGATGAGCAAAGACAGCCCACCGAGTCTACCGAGCCCACTCCAGACGATGAAATGCCTTCCTCTCCCCCAACTGGAAGTTTTTCTCGACACGAGCAGCAGCGCCCCGAACCTCCATTATGCCGAGTCAGATCCAACTCGAACGAGACCCCGGCCGACCGACTGACATCTTTGGCCCCGCCAGGTCTTCCGGCACTTAACCCTCAGAACTTGATGCCCCCACCTGACTCACAAAACCGGCCGGCTCTATCTCCAATCATCAGAGCTGGTGAAGCACTGCAACAGGTAACCTCGGACCCTCCGTCGCCTCCAGGTATGGGAAGCTTTCTGCGCAGTCCCTTCCGAGGGGTGCCTGAGGTCAAAGACAGCCGATCACCCTCACCGTCGGCCTCCAGAGCTTCTCAACTCCAGCCTCAATCCCAACCGCAGGCTCAACCCCAATCTCAGCCGTTGCCCCAAGCCCAGTTTGAGAATGCCCGTAATCAGCCTGAAAGATCTGGATTCGGCTTGTTTGGCTCGATAAAAAATCTGGTAGCCCAAGGAGCGCAAGTTTTATCGCCACGGAATGCTTCGAGGCAGGCTTCCATTAATACCGGGGAAAGCTCCAGACAAGCATCAGCCACTGCTGGCGCGACTAGTTCCATGGACATCGCCATGGACGACCCGTTTGGTCCAGATCCACCCGGTTCTTCTAGAGGAAGCACCGGGCGCAACTCGCTCTTTGGCAGCAGGATGAGCAAGCGCGATTCCGGTAGTCAAGACGCCAGTGGCACTGCTAGTGCCAGTGCCAGCTTCGAGAAACAATCTCAGGCCAGCGCTAGCCTTGAGAGACAAAGTCGCGCGAGTAGCAGTTCTGACAGGCAGGCTCATGGTTACAATGGATTTGGAAGGCAGTTTGAAGGTAATGCTGGCTTTGACAGGTGGAGTCAAGTTAATGCTGGCACTGGCAGTCAACGCCAAGTCTTCGGCGAACCATATGCTCAAGGTGATGCGGGTTTTGGCAGCCAACGCCAAATCTTCGGGGAACCGTATGCTCAAGGCAGCACCGCCGGCTTTGAAAGATCGGCACAAGCGGACGCTAATCTTGGTGGACGAAGTCAGGCCAATACCAGCTTTGACCGACAAGCCGATGCAAGCACAAGTTTCGGCAGATCTCAAGTTCAGGCTAGCAGCAGCCATGCCATAAAGCAACCTTCAGTGACTACCAAATTTGACAGACAGCGTCAAGCAAACAACAGCTTCGAACATCAGGAAGCTGAGGCTAGCACTACTAACGACAGACAAGCCCAATCCGAGACGAGCTTCGCGAGCCAACGTCAAGCGAGCACCAGTTCTTCCACCCGACAACCTCAAGCCAACCCCACCTTCGGCAGCACCAAAAGGGCTGCTTCCTCCATCTCCGAGCCCGAGCGCGAACGCGAACAGCGCGAGCATGAACATGAGCATGAAGCCATGGACTGGCAAGCAGAGGAATCCAGTCACAGTCACGAAATCAACGTGACCCGTGACAGGTCCGCCTCCGCTAGCCTTGGTTTTCACAACAGCAGCAGCCATCACAATAGCTCTGGAGAACGAGAACATACTGCTACTCGAGAGGAAAACTCTACTCGGAGATCAGGATCAGTCCAAAAAGATCATGATCATCGGGAGCCTTCCGAACCCGAAGCTCATCGTGATTATAAGAAAGTCGTTGAGGTGGAAACGGTCACAGAGGAGAGAGAGGAAGAAAGAATCTGGGGATCCTACGGAGGTGATGCCAGGGCCAGGTCCAGCTTCAGGGAGAGTAGTAGTAATAGTGATTCTGGCAGGAGACATGGACGGCCGGAACACTCTACCTTGAGAAGATCAGTAGGAGAAGAGCGAGAGCAGGAACGGGAAAGGGAACCAAAGGCTCGCTTTAGGGAAAGCGTCGAAGTCGAGACGGTGACTGAAGAAAGAGAGGAAGAGCGGATTTACGGAGGAGGTGATGCCAGGTCTAGCAGCTTCAGGGAGAGTAGTCATTCTTCTAGGAGACACGGACATGGACGGGATGGTCACCGACATGGTTCTTCTCGGCACAGGTCTTCGGAAGAGCGGGAGACGACAAGGGAAGAACGGGAACGAAGCGAAGCAAGGGAGCGGGGAAGGAGAGAGGTGACGGAGGAGATCGTAGAAGAAGTCCGGGAGGAGGAGTATGAGCATGGGAGCGAACACTGTCACTCGGGTGGTCGTCCCTCGAGTGGTCGTGAGGAGGTGGAGAGCTACCGACATGGGAGCTCCCGTTCTGACCGATCTGACCGAGGTAAAGCCTCGTCTTCTCGACAAAGGTCGGAAGAGCGAGAGACGAGGGAAGATCGGGAAAGGAGAGAACAAGGGGCGAGAGAGGTGACCGAAGAAATTATGGAGGAGGTCCGGGAAGAGTATGAGCATGAGAGCGAACACTACCGCTGGGGCGGTCATGGTGAGGAGAACCGCCGACATGGGTCCTCCCACTCCAACCGATCCGACCGAGGTAAAGCCTCGTCTTCTTCTTCTGGGGAACGTGGTCACCGCCAGCGAAGTTCTGGCGAACGAGAAGCGAGGGAAGTGCGCGAGATGACAGAAGAAATCGTGGAGGAGGAGCGGCATGAGTATGAAGAGGAAAGAGGAGGCCGCCGTTCTAGTCACGTTGAAGAGAGTCATCGCCACTGGTCACGCGGGCCGCGCGGGTCGCAGTCCAGCCGAGCTAGCGATTCTAGGCAAAACGACCACATGCGCGGCTTAAAGGAACGGGATACCAGAGAGGTGACTGAAGCCGAGGACGAGCGGCATGAGTATGAAGAGGAAAGAAAAGGGCAGCACTCGGGCTTTGTGGAAGAAAGCAGTCAGAGACAAGAGTCCCATTCCGGCCGAGGCGGAGATTCCTGGCGGCGTGACCACCAGCGAAGTTCGGCAAAGCCAAAGAGGAGAGAGTCGGAGGAAGCCCGAGATGACTTTGCAAAGGAAGGTCAAGAGCATCGGGCGAGTCGTGGTTCGGAGACAAGTCGTCAACGCGAGTCGCTCCTTGGGCGTGGCAAGACTTCCTCGCGAAGTGATCAACTGCGAGGCTTGGGAGAGGCTCAAGCGACTGAAGTGGAAAGGGCACGCCATGATGACTTTACCGAACGTGAATACTACAATACTCCTCATGCGGAAGAGAGCCATCAACGTGAAGAATCTCCGCTTGAACATCGAAGAGACGAGCACGAGCACGAGCACGAGCAAGACCACCGGGAGGATTATATGGAGGAAGAAGAAGAGGGCCATCACCAAGCTCAGCAAGGGGAACAAGCAAGGGAGCAACATGAAGAGGAGGAAGAGGAGGAGGAGGATCTTTTCCTCCTCGAAGCCATGCGTTCATCTCCCGCAGTCAAAGCCAAATCCACCCTAAAGGAGAACGATCCTGCCAGCTTCCTTCCCTCAACTCATCAGCTCCAGCCTAGCTCCCGCTGGCATTCCAACAAGAGTCAAATGGTTCGGGATCAGTTGAACACAGCCGCAGACAAGAGTGATGAGCTGGAAGAGTTTAGCCTCCTTCATTCCAGTCGGGCCAAGAAGTTCCGGCCTGCGTTGAAGCCCGTTCCGAACAAGAAAGCGAATCTCTCGAGCTTCTTCTCGTCGCCTGCACCTATTCCGGAAATCAGTTTACAGGGTCCAGAGGGTAATGCTTCTCTTCGACCTGGGCCCGAAGTGCTCGATAGGCAAAGTCAAGCCAATGGCAAGGTGTCATCTGGTCCGGGAGCCCTTTCGGAGCGGTCACAGACTCTTCCTACAGGTCAGGAAGCTGAGAGGAAGCTTGGAACGACTCCCACAGGCCGCGTTCCATCATCTCAGCGTCTCTCTGTGCCAGTTTCCCAAAAGCCGTTCCAGCCTTCACCTCTGGGTACAGCGCCCGTGTTATCAGGGCAATCCTCCCGACCCTTGCAACCGGCACAACGTGTACTTCGACACTCTTCCTCCATCATCGGTTCCTCTTCACCACCACAGTCTGGCAGCATCTACACCCCGGTCCCGCAGAAACAGAACTTCACTCCAGTGCGACGCGAACCAGGCGCTAAGCTCCCCTTGTTCGAACGGGGCGGCGGGACTAAGCCCAGCACTGTCACGACCTTGCCTCTCAAAGACAACGACTCAGGCTCAGGCACCACTCCGAATTCGATAACTGACAAACCTAAGCAGTTGCTCTTTGGTCTTAAGGAGTCCATTTCCAAGCTGTTCTCGGACCCGCCCGCTAAGAGCGTTGAGTACGGACCGGAGAACGACAATGAAGAAGAGCAAGAGCCTGAAGAAGACATGGACGACTATGACGAGATAGTGGAACTCGAGGAAGAACAATCATCCACCGAGGAAAGCTTCGAACCACCTCCGCTTCGAACTCTACCCGACAAGAACTCTTCCCCTATCAAGTCTGCCTTGCGACCGCCGACCAAGGGCCATACGCCCGGCCGCGCGGTGCAGTTTGCCAACAGTGTCCGACAGTCGCCTACTCCTCGGCGCAGCGCAGACGTCCAACAGAGGCGGCCTGTATTCGGGGGCCGTTCCACTCCTGTGATTATCACCAGCTCGCCCAGTACCCACACGGAGAGCAGTCCTGTTCCTAGTCCTGCGGGCTCGGAGAGGATTGAGGAGAATGCGCCTGGGGGGTATGAGGAGGATTACCAGGACGAGGAACAGCATGAACTGGATGACGCGGCGGATACGGACATGGACATGGACATGGATGATGATATTGAATGGTACGAGCATAAACCGGCGCCAGCACCAGTAGTCCAAGCACCAAGACCTGCGCCTCCATTCCCTCGCCCACTGAGCCCTGGACGAGGACGGCAACGGCAGCAGCAACAGCAACAGGAATTACAACCACAACAACAACAACAACAATCACAAGTTGCTGCTGCACCACGTCAACCACCAGCAGCACAACCGCCGCTCATCAAACCTACATCCACCCTCGAAAACTCCCCCGTCATCCGCTCGGGCGTCTCTCTCTTTGGCTACGGTCGCCGCAAATCACTACCGCCTCCTATTCCGCCTTCCAACCGTAACATCGTCACGCCTCTGCAGCCGCTTTATCCCTCTCTCCCACCAGTTTCCTCTTTCGGGCAGCAACAACAACAACAAAAACAATCCTCTCAGCCATCAACCTCGACCTCAACCTTGACCTCTCAACACCATAACGGCCAAGCCTCCACCGCTGCTTCCACCGCTGCTTCCACCGGTACTTCCACCACCACCACATCTCACCACCACCAACAAGAACAACACCTCCCCCCACCAACCCACCTCTGGAGCACCTCCCACTGGGACATCCTCTCCTCCGTCATCCACGCCCACCGCGCCCTCCAATCCCAATCCCAATCCCAATCCAAAGGCAAAGGCAAACAACGGGCCGCCGCCCCCACCCATCTCTACTACCCTCACTCCCCCACCCTCTCCTCCTTTCTGCACCAAACGTACCGCCCCTCCCCTCAACAAACCACCTACGACCCCGTCACGCGTTTACCTATTGACGAGTCGGTGGTGATTGAGCAATGGCATTTGGACGTCGTGTACGAGTTTCGGGAGATGTTTAGACGGGCTTGGGGAACGGATGAACTTTACGGGGGTGTTTTTGCGATGGATGAACAGGAAAAGGGGGGGTGGAGTGAGGGGGAGTTGGTCAGACGGGTGTATGCGTTTTTGGTGGGGGAGAGGAGGAGGAGGGAGGGACGGGTTGATAGGGGGAGGAGAAGAAGGGGGAGGGGGGTCGTTTGTTAGTTGAGAGGTATGTGTGGGAATTTGTGTGTGCTGTCGGGTTAATTGTGTATTGAGCGTGGGGAAGGACATTAAAGAACGGGCATGGATGGATGGATGGATGGATGGATGGATGGATGGGAAGGGAAGAAGGGAAGAACAGTGAAAGAAGGAACTGGATACCCAAAGTATAACTGGATGGATGCATGAGTAGGAGATACCATGTTGTTAAATGGTTCTTTGTACAAACATTGGTTGTTTCTAGTTTCTGAAATTTGGACATACAATATCACATATCTGCAACACTTTGAAAGACCAGACCGCCACCATTGCTCAAAACTTAGACTTATGATCATGCGGTTTATCGTGTTTAGTTCAGTACGCCCGACTAATACCATATCTAAGCGTAATGTTACAGACGAACCCCATGCTGTAAACCCTTAAACCATCCATCCATCCATCCATTTAAACCCTGCTTCTGCCTTGAACCTCGCTTTTTACTCAAGCTGCGAGGCCTGGGTGGGTATAAAGTACATCAACCACATTTGCTAAGCTTCTCAATGGTCTTCAGCGCCGCATCGTACGCCTCATCCCGGTGCGTCTCATCGTAATGATGAAGGCAGCCGGCGCCTGGTCTAGCACTCCAATGATCACCTTGTTCAAGGATCAATCTGCGACAGCTTCTTTTCACTTGCTGG